AAAAAAAAAAAAAAAAAAAAAAAAAAAAAAAAAAAAAAAATAGATAAAAAAAAAAAAAAAAAAAAAAAAAAAAAAAAAAAGAGTCAACGAAACAATAATGAATATTAATTCCCAACAGGCTTTGACAAACAGGGGGTGCTGTATGTTTATGGATGTGGAAGAGGAATCTTGTCAATCCCATACCTTCCTCCCCCCAAGTCACTGAGGTACAGCAGAGCACATAGTGAAGGAAAAAAAGGAAAAGACAAGAAAGATCCAGCCAAAAGAAAGGAAAAATTAAAACCAAACAAAACAGCGAAAAACAACAAGAGACAAGACAAACTAAAAGAAACTCTTTCAGTTTCAACAGGCAATTAGTTTCAAAAGACAAAACCCCTCAATATAAAGATAAATGCTGAATTGCCATTTGATCTTGTTTATTTTTAGCTCATCAGTTCATCCCACCCCCACTCGTCCATTACTCACCTCTTCCCAGCATCGTCAGAAGCTCCTCCTTTGCCCTGCTTGTCAATAACAATCTTGTCGTTCATGCCAAACTTGCACTCGGGCATTCCACTCAGGTAGCTCTTCATTACAACTCGGCCCGACACGTGGGCGCTCAGGACCTGGCCTGGACGGGACGAACAAAACCCAATAAGTTTGAGACAAAAACTGAACAGGGACCATTGATACTTGAACAAAATTTAGATGATTCTAATATCAATTAGTTCATGAAGATTGTACACAAGTACATACAAATTTTGACTTTTACTTGATCAAAAAAAAAGGGTCATTATCTATTGTTTTATGTTTAATATAATATAAGTCAATCTTAATTACTATTATGGCCATGTTGAAGTACAAGTTTTTTCCCCCATACATTAGAGAGATTAACTTTGAGAATAAAAGTGCAGGAAGTATTTATAAAAATGAACACATGCTATTTGCATTTTTCCAAATGATTCATGTTCGCAGCCAGAGAGCAAACAAACCGACCTTGAGGCGACATGAGCAGATTAACGCTTTCCAGTACGTCCAGGAAGAGCTCATTACGGCGATACTTGATGCCCTCGCGCCGCCAGCCGATCTGGCCTGTCACCTGGCTGGTGATCTGAGACTGCTCCTCTTTTGTCTGAGGGATGGAAGCAGAAACTGTACCACGGCCAACAAAAAGCAAACAGCTGACAGACGTTCGACAAAAAGACAGTTATTAACTGGAGCTAATAAACAAAGGGAAGGTGGAAACAAAACGACACATCGTTTCACACAGAGAAAGAAAGAAAATAAATATGTATATTTTTAAAAAAAGGATTTCACCATGATATTACCTGGTGCTGAAGTGTCCAAAATCGCGGTTGAAAAATGAAAACAAATAAAACAGGGATGACAAAAAAGGACACAAAAGATGGAATTAAATACTAATTAATACATTCAAAAAATATACATTCAAGAAATTTTTTTTTGTTTTTCTAAACCCTAATCTGTATTATAATATTGCAAACTAGGCAATCCTATGATTGTTTCCTAACTGCTGCTCATGTTTTATGAATAACATTCAATAAAGGAACTGGAACTACATCAGGGTTCATATTACTGATACCAGTCTCAATCTGTCAGAATCAAATCAGGCAGTATCAAAATAAATTTCCATTAGCAGGTCATCATTAAACTACTAAACTTTTTTATCAAAGCTTAACCTTCGATTACACAAACAGACACCTTTGCAAGGTTTTCACATTGTTTTTCTGCTGAACTCATCTTATCAAACTGAAAACTTTCATACAGATTTGAGCATTTCCGTCCTGCTTACTTGTCCTTTAATGCCCTGCTGGGTAATGAAGGTCTTGAGGGCTCCGGTCTCTGAGTTCTGGGGGTAGCCAAAGTCCAGGATCTCTGAATAAACAAGCATGAGTAGATAACTGTCAGAAAGAGATAAAATGTAGTGGTGAAGTGAACCAAGGACAGTTAACTGTGACAGAGTTAACACATGGCTTTCACCCGAGCTCCAACAGAACTTTAAAGGAATTCCAGCTTTTTTCTACTACGTACAAGTAAATGTTTAACACAACATACAATCCACAACAAAAATCAATTGTCTAATGCTGAGATCATCTCCTACCATCCAGCAGCTCATAGATGAGCACAAAGTTGTTCTTGATGTTCTCCTCGCTGATCTTGCCAAAGTAGGCCGTCATGACGTCACACATTTTGTAAAGAAACTCGAACACCATGGCGGCGTTGACATTCTGCTTGGTGACCGCTGCCAGCCAGATGTTGGAGCGCTTCACGTGGAAGAAGCTGGTGCGGGCGATGTTAGTCACAGGGGATCGGACCTGCTGCCGGGCGTGAATCACGTTCACACGGAACGCGTCCACAGCATTCCGCCTGGGACAGACAGAGACGTTTGGGTCAGACGGTAAAGTAACTTACCGGTAGATATTTTCTTGGAAATCAAGGAAATGGTCACACTCAAAACGTAACTCCCTCATTCCTTCAACATGTGCAGGTTTTTCAATTTTCAAAATGAAAGCAAAAAAAAGGGGGAGGTTTATAAAAGCATTTGACTTAACTTAGTATTTTGTGGAAATAAAGCAGATAATTATCAGGAAAAAAAGAGACATCAGGGCAACAGTGTTTTATCAAGATAAAAAATGTGAAAACAAATATTTAAGTCATTTGAATCCAACATGGTTCCAAACTCATATTTGTTTAGACATGCTTTGACATTTAAAAAGATAAGAGTTCACATTTTCTGGTGGAGAAATAAATTGAAACATACTTTAGCTGTTAACAAGCTTCTTAGGGACAACATGGTCCAATTTAGTGAGGATTTATAAAAAAAAATAAAGCTTGATGCAAAGAAAAAGCTTGTTGTGATGAGAACATCTAATCCCACCGCTTAGTGCCTGAGAAAACCCTGAAGTTTATTCCAGTAGGAAACTGCAGCTCTTAACAACTAAAAAGAAACAGCTTCATCCAAAATTGTATAAAAGCATTTTTATATTATAAACAGCTCAACATTTTAGATTAAATCTGAAGACGGTTAATCTACATAAACATAATTAAGTACAATGTTTAATTAAAAGCCTAAATTTACAAATGAAACCTCAAAATATCTAAATAATCCCTGAATTTATAAGATGACAAAAACTATGTTAGCACAGAGAGAAATCAACCATCATTCCATGCTCAGACTCCATGCTTGGATGCTGGCACAGCTGACTAAGAACTGATGGACTGGACAGGAACTGAATTCTTTGGTTTTGGTTGATTTGCTGCTGCATTTCAATACAATGTGTGTTTTTTTATATTAACCACTAATACAATGACGGGTGACTCATGCTTAAAGGAACTGCACAGGAACTGTGTTTTGACAATGCATGCAGTTTAGTGTTCATGGAGTCGCTGATTAGTGGCCATGAGGCAAAGAGAGGCCGGGGGTTTGGTGCAGGGGCGGGGGTCATGCTTTAGAAGCTGCAGCAGCTCTTACCTATTCCTACAAGGGCCAAGGTGAACACATGGAGGAAAGTGATGAACAAACGATACACAGGAGAAAAAAGGATGAAGAAAAAATCGAAAAGGAGACAAAAATGTACAAAAGGACATTTTTGTGCATCATGTAGACAGAGTGAGTCACGTGGTGTTAATTATGATGCTACTTTGACAACACAAAACACTGCTCTACAACATGCTGTTACAACACAGGATGATGTGGATTCACGTACGCCTCAGGAGGATAGGATTAGTTTGAGTTGATATATTCCGATACCAAATGCTGTGAGTGTAAAAAAGGCTGTTTGTATAAAAACCTTCAAAAACACCACTGCAGCAGCAGATAAAACGTGTAGTAGTACATTCCCACCATGCTAAACATATTAAAAAAACAAATTGCAGTTTGTGGATCGTCTAAAGGGAGGAATTAGACTATCTGTTAGAGGTGCTTCAGTCTGCAGGTCACTAAACAGCTTCTTAATCCAAAATTTAGCACCATCTCTACCTTCATTTTGTTGTTAACCTTAAAACTTCAGGTACAGCAGCTCAGGTAATAAAATGCTCAGGTGTTTTCAGGACCTACATAAAAACATCCCTAATAAAAACACCACGTGTGTTCTTACTTCTGTGCCCACACTTGGTTTTTTAATCTTTACAGGATGAAAGTGTGCCTGTGCAAGCAAACATTTTACACCGCTAACAAAATATGGCAAAGTCAATATTTTTTCCTACAATTTTTGAAACAAACTGGGCCAAGTTTTTCTAATATTTCAATCAACCCAGCCATATATTTTTTTTAAAGCAGCTTATACAGTCAACATTTTAATAAACATGTTCAAACATTCAACTCACAAATATAAAATGGACAAAAAAAAGTTGCCACTGAGCAATTACAAAAAAAAAAGCCAACTAATTGATAAAAAGATCTTCAATGAATTCATCTTGAAATGATAAAAAAAAGAACAGAAACAAGACATCGGACGCAGATTATTGAAAACAAATATTTGAATAAAATATGCAAGCCCAGGCCTGTGATCCCAGTGGGATTTGCCTGGTTAAATAAAAGGTTTAAATAAACAAATTAACCAAACAGAGCAACAACAAGCTTAATTGTCTGAAAATATGACGTACAGAAAATGCACCATTAGAGGTTTAAAATGATTTTACTACCTCAGCAGCATTGTGACAACTACATGTGAAGTGTTTTTTTTTTTGTTCCTATGTTTAAAAACAAACTCCACTGACCAAAGTGCTGCCGATCCACAAATCAATAATTGCCAAAGACAAACTAATAAAAAAGGACAGGAATGGTTAGAAGCTTATAAAAAGCTCCTGGAAATGCTTTTATTTTGAAATCAAATTTAACTGCAGCGAATAAGTCGTGTGAGAAAAACAGGATTCATGGTAGCGTGGCTATGGGATTTGAATAATGCCAGGTAAAAAAAGTCTGACATGAGATTATTAAGAGGTGTTGAAAAAGATGGCAGATTTTTCTTTGCCATTTTGCCACATGGAAGGATCTTTAAAAAACAAAACAAAACTAACAATGAAGGAATTTAGCTTTCCACACAGCTGCAACCAATCTTTTAATTAGATGGTGCGGTTTGATAAGAATGAGTGAAGGACAGCCCTGCCTCACATAAAATGGAGAAAACAGTCATTTGTGTGAGATTCTCAGACCGTTTCATAAATCTCATTTAAAAAGAAAACATACATGTCGTATGGAATTACAAACAATGCTCCAAATGTAATCCTGGCTTATAGCGTTTGCCTCTCCACCTTTCCACTCGCACCATAAACATTCATTTAGTTAATCTGAGAGACGTAATCCACTCATCCCAGATCAACTCCAACACATCCACCCACACATGCTTATCTCCATGAAGATTTCCACCATTTCAGGAGTTTTACAGCAGATCCCCCCCGCTGTTAAAACCTTACCCTATGTCATCTCGGTAGACGCGGGAGATGAGGACCTCCCCCTTGTGGTTGTAGATGAACAGTCCTCCGATCATTGTGGCTTCTCAGTCCCAACCTGCCATGGTGAAAACCAAACCCTCCTGAGAAGACAGAAAGAAAAAAAGGAAGGAAGTCAGGGCAGGAAGAAGGAGTGATAGAGAAGTGAAAAGCCATGAGAGTGACCAGCAGAACAGAGAGGCATTTGTCCACTCACATCCGCTGTTTCTGCCTATCTCACACAAGTGCACATCACCCTGCCATCCTGCAGCTGCACCACTGCACTAGTGACTTCATGTACAAATACACTAAAACTGCCTCCAATCTGCACTACAAGTGACTACCACCGGCAATTCCTTGGTTTTCCAAATAAGATTAAGAACAGATTAAGAGTCACCAGTTTCAGGCTAAATATCTGCTCTGTTTATTTTTAATGCTTCCTAGATGTGATCAGATCAAAAAGATTTAATCCACAATTACGACAAGAACTGTCCATGTAAGCCCCCTGCTGTTATAGGTCAACTGATATATATTTATGGCTTTGGGAAGCACCACACATAGAAATGTCCCAGTTTTTTTTAATGAATGAATCTTCTGGAAAACAGGATGAAGGACATCCTTAAGATTCCTCGATGAAATAATCCAAAACCCTTTGAAACGCGAGGCGCCCTGGAGAGCACATAATGAATATAAAAAGTGGGGGAATTACTAAACGAATAGTCGTGACTCAACAGAACCCTGCACCAAATCAGAAGAGGTTTAATTCGTCCATCTACTACTAGCGAAGTCAAGATGTCTGCTCACTGACTCCAAGGCCATTTAATGTTCATGCGCGTTTAATTCTTCCTAAATTGGCTCTCGAACATAAAATGATAGGTTTTTTTGTACGATTTCATTGAAATGTTGTTAGGTGGTATCGACAATTGAGAAGTCTTGACCTACATAGTGATGGAGAATGCACCGAATGAGGCTAATTAGCGTGCTAGCTGTACGATGATCAGCGAAACGCCGAGCTGAGTTTTTTGGCTTCCGGTAAAAAAGAAAAAAAAAATCAAGATTTTCATGAATCGTTATTTATTGCCAACATGCAGGCTCGTGTATTCATTCTCAAACAAGCGTACTGTATCACTGTTTACTATTTAAGATATTGCACGACTGCAATGTTTCACGGTTTCCTGCTGAATGGATCTAAAAGTCCATTTTCCCGTTATCGTACGGCTAAGCACTGTTAGCTTGACGCTAGCAACTGTTAGCCGAGTAGCTGCTAATGTTAGCATCGTCCAGGAATTTGAGAGCACTCGCAGGATTTTCTCAAGTGATTATCGGTTATGTTATAATACAAAACATCAACGACTCGCCTCTTGTGAACTTACCCTGCTTCCCTCACAAACACCACCAGCCTCTCTGCCCCAGGTTTAGCCTTGACTGTCTCTTATGTCCGGGCAGGATTCCGCTCTTGATAGCTGTCAGCTGACCCGCCGTCTTTACGCACTACCGTTCCGCCTCGACAGGAAAAGGCGCGGCTGGAGCGATGTTTTAACCGCACCCAGGCCTTGTTCTGATAAGCTCCGTCAGCTACAAATCACTTTTAGATATATGGCATTTCAGTAATTTACTTATACAGGATGGCGTGGTGGGCTTTTATTTTTAAAATGGGTTTTTAATATCTGCCAATTAACTTATTTTAAAGAATGCTCAACTGCAACTCCTCAACCGTACCAGAAGGGGGCCTGCAGGCTTATAATACTAAACGTTACAATAATTTCCCTGTACTCATTTTATTATACAAAAAAAGTGTTTAGTCTCTAATTGTAGCTTTGTTTATAGCTGTCCTACAGTCAACATGTCATTGTTTAAACTGTTGTACAAAGTTAGCCAAGTCAGCTCAATTTATGTTATCCCACCTGAAACCACAAAGGTTTGCAGGGTCATTCAGTTCCGAGGCACCCCCCCACCACACACACACACACACACACACACACACACACACACACAC